CAGTATGTCAGGATACTAATGTTCAAGTTTCATCCTAAATTATCACTTCCTTCTCGGTCTAGAAAGTTCGCAACTTCATGTGATGCGGTAAAAATCGACCTAGATTTGTCTATGCGAAACATAGCCATTTAAAGGCGAACTCGCTTTATATAGCGCGAGCTGAAAACGTGTCGGTTTCCGAATATCTCGCCTACACTTTCTTTGAAATTCGGCTGGTATATTCATGGAAGCTTATAAAGTGACTGGATGAATTCCCTGTCTGATGCCTAATTGGTTATTGAGTTATTTCCAGTTGACATTTGCGTCGTAGATTTCTCTAAACTGCCTTCCCGGGAAAGATTGAGTGCTACCATTAAAAGGGGTTTTCAGGCTGTCATTTTCTGAAGTTTTCATCATGTTAATCCCTTAATCCTACATTACCTCTGAATCCTTTTTGGTCTTTACACAGTCAATCCCATCAAGCACTGGGGTTGTTAACGACATGCATGATACATGATTTAATGCTGTGCATTTGCAGTTTGTGTATTGTATACTGACTTGAATTACACTGGAAATAAAAGTCTAGTGAAACAAGGGTAAAAAGGTGTATTGCATCTTTAATAATAATTGAAAACTGTTAAAAAGATACACAATGTATCATCAATATACAGGCAATGTCTACAGGTACTACAAGTAATGAATGTAGTTCCTTTAAGTCAGTATAACATGTTATGCTTTCAACAGTTTTAGAAAATATGACACTCAGACAATTAGAAAACAAACATACAAACGATCAAACACAGAATTGTTGTACAGTTCAGAACTACAATCCACCTCTAGTTATTCTACATTATGGAGAAAGAACCTGACAGAATCAAAATGACATAAGTCAGGGTTCGGCATTCGTGTTCTTGCTATCAACTAAACAAGGCACTTCCAACAATTCCAGATTGTGATGCATTAATCAGTTTCTCCTTTCTGGCAAATGCCCTGAAAAAAATATTGTTGGTGAGTTATAACTACATATGTAGATATGTCAAAAATCAAAATATGTAAGATAAAAATGACCGAAAAAATATAAATTGTATGATCCTACCACAAAAATATTTCCTCTACGGAGCCTTACCTGGTCCCCAGATGAAAGAACCATGCCTATATCACCTGTACGGAGCCTTACCTGGTCCACAGATAAAAGAACATTGCCAATATCACCTGTACGGAGCCTTACCTGGTCCCAGATGAAAGGACCATGCCAATATCACCTGTACGGAGCCTTACCTGGTCCACAGATAAAAGAACCATGCCAATATCACCTGTACGGAGCCTTACCTGGTCCTAAGATGAAAGGGACATGCCAATATCACCTGTACGGAGCCTTACCTGGTCCACAGATAAAAGAACAATGCCAATATTACCTGCACGGTGCCATACCTGGTCCACAGATGAAAGGGCCATGTAAATATTACCTGTACAGAGCCTTACCTGGTCCACGTTACTGTACCCTGTAGTGGACCCTGGCATGTTATCTTTCTATTTGGCCGATTTCTACTCTTTCCAGCCGCCACCCTAAGCTTGATAGAGACTAAGAAGGGACACGCAATTTCAACGACTGCACAATGCAAAATTACGCACGTCGTACTGCAATGTAAACAAGAAGGTTAAATACAAATTTACAAGATTTTAAACCTCCTTGAATATAACGTTTGAGCCATATAACCAAATATGATGTTTTGGCGGTAGATCCCCTCCTAAAATCCACTCAAATATTATCTGTGTGCAGTGCCTTTCCTGGTCCCCCGAGCTTATAGCCACAGAAATGCAGTAAATTTAGTTGTAAAAGCTGACGTTTTTGCACCTAAAATCGAGGCAAAGACGTCGGTAGCCCTCCCCACACTAGCGAAACCGCGATTGCATGCGAAACTATTGCACCCCGTTACTGTTTTTGATCGACCAATGGGATTGTGTCGATTATATAGCATTGACCAATAGGAGTGTGGCTCTTCCACCGTGGCTGACCGAACTGGGGAGACGACTGCAATACCTCCATGAGGTTGTTGTGTGTACATCGAGTTCCCCTGGCCTTCCAACTCTACACTCGCTGGTGAAATGGTAGGATGGCGGAAGATTTGAAGGGAAAAATACAAACAGGTGAGGACAAAAACGCTGCGCTTTGTGTGGTGGATGTGTGTGAACCAGTCTTTTCCATCCAGGTCGTATCAATTGGTGTGTATTGTGTAACGTTACATGTGTGCAATTTGAGTGGACTTTTGACCGAATTTTAGGGGCCTGTTGTGTACAGAACCGTGCTTTTTCCAGAACCAGGGCCATGCTGAGGCAAGTTTCTGGATAGCCCTGGATAGCGTATCCAGAACCGTGCCTGGGGCAAATCTACGCTCTTGGATACGCGGAGACTATCCAGAACAGCAGAACCGTGCATAATTTGTACCTGACCCTTGGCAGAAGGGGGCGTGTCAGCATTGTGAACTTTTGACCGACATTCAAATAGTGAAACTCAAGTTGCCCTTTGGACTCTCCAATTATCCAAACAGTTACCACTTTCCAACCACTCAAACTCAAATGTTTGTTTACCCAGACTTTAAGGAGACTTTCAGTCCTAATCATTCCAGGCTAAAAGTGTGACAATCCTACGGTGGCAAAGCTGTAACCACTGGCCAAAGGAATGGTCAATGGTTACACTTACAGCCTTGCGTCCCTAGAATCTGCTTGGAGATTACTAAAGAATAATAGAAAGGTAACATTTACAAAGCAAATGCATAATGTTTACATTTGCATATGGTCTGCTCTGTTAATAGTTGTTTATTGCAAATTCATGGCCAAGGACTAATTGCAAACAGACATTGACAAGAAAAATGTGGTGATATAAGACTTTTGACAATTGAAGTTCTACGTGTGCGATATACTTAACAAACCTACTATCTCTACTTCAATCTAATTACGTTATTCAGCCAACGTCTCGGTGACCATCTATAACAGTGACACCTGTGCTGCAGTGCATTGTGAATTGTGAACCAGTCAGAATTGCCCCGAGGAAGGTGACAGACGGTCACCGAAACGTCGGCTGAATAAAAGACTTGGTTGTGTAAAAAGAGTCTCTTTACTTTGTTACCTTTCTAGTTCTTATTAATGATTTGTACGTTGGTATGTTCCAGTCCTGGGGTGCATGGACCCCTCTCAGCTGGGTCGAACTCTGACCCACGAGCACCTGTGGATAGACGCTTCCCCCCTGGGTGTGCCGACATGCCCCCCCTTCCTCCCCAACCTGAACAGTCTGCCCTTCAACATGGACAACCTCGGGTTCATCAGGCAGTTCCCGTAAGTTTGCAGTAGTGGTAGCTTTGTTTTACCTTAACATGTGTGTGGATGGTGTTCAGCACCAAGGACAGGTGTATTTGCCTGTGTGTGGATGGTGTTCACAGCACCAAGGACGGGTGTGTTTGCCTGTGTGTGGATGGTGTTCAGCACCAAGGACAGGCATGTTTGCCTGTGTGTGGATGGTGTTCAGTACCAAGGACAGGCATGTTTGGCTGTGTGTGGATGTGTGTTCGTGTGTGTGTTTGTGTGTGTGTGTGTTTAATGTAAGAATAACCAAAGCAATAACTAACTTAACTATCCAGGATTTGATGATTCTGCTGCTCAAAAGAAAGAATTTGATTATTCTGCAATGATGAAAGACTGAACCATCTGATGTAAGTAATTTATAAATACATTTTGTGTACAATTATAAATTGCAAATAATTTCCTTTAAAAGTTGGATATAACCGTTTGACAATTACTAACATTTCTGCATGTTAGCTACTCCCATACTCCAAACCTAACCTTGCATGGGGAGGAGCAGCATGTGATGGAAGAGCTGAAGTTCTACAGACAGCACGGCGGCTCCTCCATGGTGGAATGCACAACAGTTGGGATCAGTAACAACATCGGCATGTTAAAAACTATGGCTGAAAAAACTGGAGTCAACATCATTGCTGGCGCAGGTAAAAATTAGATCTGAAAAAATGGTAAAGTGCTCAAGGTGAATCAAAGTTAGCTTGGGTACCATCCGGATTTTCGCTCCGCAACGCTCGAAAAAAATGTTTGAGCATTGCAGAGCGAAAATCCGGATGGTATCCAGGAATAAAATATAAATCAAAGTCTTTGGTACTAGTACATACCCCAGGGCACCACTTTGAAACTGTGAAAAGTCACCGAGCTGGTTCACCTTGGCTAAAGAAAGTAGAAATAAATAGATACTGAAAAAGTACTTGTAAAATGTTTGGGATGGTGTCATGGCAGGGGTGAAGGGGTGGTTTAGAATAAAGGTTTTCATTCTTTTTATTTGCAGTTCTGTAGTACTATACATTGGGAACGCGTATTTACATGTATATATAATTGCTAAGCCAGAAATTCATGGTGGAGAGGTCACCACAAGCACATAATAAAACCACTGCAAAAGCTTCAAGATTAACAGTGAACTAGAGAAGTAACATTTGCAAAGCAAATGCATAATGTTTACCTTCGGACATGGTCTGCCCTGTTAATTCTGACTCAAACACATTCACATACATATGTACTACTAGTACATGTATATGGTGACAGGAGTAGGGCAGACCATGAAATGCAACATCATGTAACCCAACACCAGTCACCATGGTGACAGACGTCAACAAATCATGTCATTGGCCAAGTCAGAGGTTAGTGTTTGGAACAGAAGAGGAGGAGGAAGAAACTGAGTAAAAACAATGTTTTCCTTCGGTAAACATAATGAATACTGTGATTTTCCCCCCCAGGTTACTATGTAGACTCGTCCCTCCCGTCGGAGGTCCACAGTGCAACTCAGGAGCAGCTGGTTTCTACCATGGTCCAAGACGTCACCCAGGGGCCTGCTGGGACTGGCATCAGGTGCGGGGTAATCGGCGAGATCGGAACATCCTGGCCAATAACAGGTAACATAAAGCTGCTACCACACAAAAATGTCTTAGCAGCAGCTTGCTTTTTATTAAAAAAAGATTAACTAAAGTGTTAACTTGCTTTCTATGACAAAAAAGACTTCAAGTTAGTAGAATGCATACTTAGGTACTTTGCCTTATGACTGCATCCAGTAGTTAGCGACCCTTCCTCAGAACCAAGAGGATGGGAGTTCAAATCCCAGCTAGTGTCTGTCTTCTCTTTTCAGTGAGGTCAACAGGTTTGAGATCTCCTGTCATCCTCAAATAGAACAGGGGATTCTCTCTGAATCGGTCTATTATTATAGCTCACAGTGACACCTGTTGTTTCTTGTATCCATAGCAACAGAGAAGAAGGTTCTTGTTGCCACGGCAGCGGCTCAGACCCAGCTGGGCTGTCCCGTCATCATCCACCCCGGTCGGAACAGAGCGGCGCCGGCCGAGGTCATCCGCATCCTGGCAGAGGCCGGGGGGGACATCGGCAGGACCGTCATGTCTCATCTGGATAGTAGGTTATATCATCATCACTGTTAAACACACACACACACACAGGCACAGACACACACACACACACACACACACACACACACACACACACACACACACACACACACACACACACACACACACACACACACACACACACACACACACACACACACACACACACACACACACACACCAACACGGGGGCAACACCACACCAACNCCANACCACGACTTCACACACACACACACACACACACACACACACACACACACACACACACACACACACACACATACACACACACATACACACTCCAAAACGCAGTTACTCAAGCAACTGGATATGATTTTGGAAACCGTCAGACATTTCAACTAGTATCAGTCTGAGTCACTGACGAAAGGTAGTGGATACTAGCTGAAATGTCTGATGGTTTCCAAAATCATATCCAGGTGCTGAGTAACTGCTTTTTGGCATATCGTATTACCTGGATGTCTAACCTTTGTCCACGTAGATGGAAAACTCATTCAGGCATTTCAAGTTGCACTTTCAGTCCCTATATAAAGGACAGCTGTTTCTTCCCGCAGGATCTATCTACGACAAAGGCGAGCTGTCGGAGTTTGCTGCGCTCGGGTCGTACCTGGAGTGGGACCTGTTTGGGATCGAGGTGTCGTATTACCAGCAGGTGTCGGATGTCGACATGCCGAGCGACGCACAGCGGATACAGATGGTGAAACACGTGTTGGAGGAGGGATATGAGGACAGAGTGGTGATCGCACATGACATTCACACAAAACACAGGCTGGTGAGGGGTTTTGCTCATTGTGATTGATGATACTGACTTGCTTAGACTGGGTTAGTCTTGACAAATTTTGACTTAGACTTGACTTACACTTAGACTCGTCTCTCTACAACTTTAGAGTTCCAGTTTACTGTTTGCAGGTCTGTCTGTAGTTCATCCTGGATTGAGAACTGCATCTTTTCCATGTGGGCTCCAGTTTAAGGCTAATGCTTTGCTAGTCTGACTTGTGTAAGTGCTTGTAACATGGCCTAGTCAGATCAAACACCACTTGTAGATTACTGTGGACATTGTTTTTTTTATTAGTTCTGGCTCTAGATATGGTATGTAAAGCATGTTACCAGTAAAACTAAAAGACTGTAATTTCTTTACTGTCAGATGCACTACGGTGGCCACGGTTACTCCCACATCCTGCTGAATGTGGTTCCCATGATGCTGGCCAGGGGAGTCTCTCAGGAACAGGTGGACAAGATGCTCATCCACAACCCCAGGAACTGGCTCACCTTCAAGTAAACAAACAAACAAACAAACAAACAAGATGCTCATCCACAACCCCAGGAACTGGCTCACCTTCAAGTGAAGAAACAAACAAACAAGCAAACAAGATGCTCATCCACAACCCCAGGAACTGGCTCACCTTCAAGTAAACAAACAAACAAACAAACAAACAAGATGCTCATGCACAACCCCAGGAACTGGCTCACCTTCAAGTAAACAAACAAACAAACAAACAAACAAACAAACAAGATGCTCATCCACAATCCCAGGAACTGGCTCACCTTCAAGTGAAGAAACAAACAAGCAAACAAACAAACAAGATGCTCATCCACAACCCCAGGAACTGGCTCACCTTCAAGTAAACAAACAAACAAGATGCTCATCCACAATCCCAGAAATTGGCTCACGTTCAATGGAAGAAACAAACAAACAAACAAACATGCTCATCCACAACCCAAGAAACTGGCTCACCTTCAAGTAAACAAACCAATAAACTAGAAAGGTAACATTTGTAAAGCAAAAGCATAATATTTACCTTTGCATATGTTCTGCTCTATTAATTCTTACTCAAACACATTCATATATATGGTCAGACAGGAGTCTAAATCCCGCCTGCTATAAAAATGCAATACAATGTAAACCAACACTAGTTACCATGGTAACACACAGTGTTGTTCAGGTCATTGACCTTTTTGGTTTGGAGAAGAAGAAGAGGAAACGTAGCAAAAACAATATGTTTTTCTTTGGTAAACATAACAAACAAACAATAAACACCATGCTCATCCACAGCCCCAGGAACTGGCTCACTTTTAAGTGAAAAACTAGACAATAAACTTGCTCACCTTCCACTAAGCGAACCACCAAAATAATCCCAGAAACTGGCTCGCTGCAAGTGAACCAACAAACAACATTCTGTCACTTCCAGTGCAAAGATTGTAGCTCTTTATGAATGTATTTGCTTATTCAAATTTTAATGTTGGCTTTAATCTATGCCAAGAACTGGATGCATCACTGAAAGGCTGTCATGAATGATGAGTGAACAATGTGGCAAACTGGTTACAAGGTTACAAAGCTAATGATCAGCAATGCAACAATTTTTACGTGTGAATTAGAAAAGGAATGGCTATCATAATTGTATGTAAATAAGGAATAAGGAAGTTCTGTTATTTTGTCATCAACAATTTTCTAACCATGACATAAACTAACTAAAGGTGATGGATAGATGAGTAAATGGGTATTTTTAGATAAATTATATAAAAAAATTGTACTTTACATAATCTATGATGAAAATATGTAATTGTCTATCTGGATAACTCTATTTTGACAGCAGTAAAAAGTATATATAGTCTATAACTTTTATGATAAAATTTTCCTTGAAATATATCGAAGAAATTAGACAATGCGTCTATCATTAAGATTATTTGTACCTTATTAATATATATTGATTAATAAATACTTCAATCTTGCATAATTTTGGACTATCATATCAGTACCATAGGTCCAATGGACTATAATATCAGTACCATAGTCGGGTCCAATGGACTATTACATCGGTACCATAGTCAGGTCCAATGGACTAACATATCGGTACCATGGTCAGGTCCAATGGACTAACATATCGGTACCATAGTCAGGTCCAATGGACTATCATCAGTACCATAGTCAGGTTCAATGGACTATCATATCGGTACCATAGTCAGGTGCAATGGACGAACATATCGGTACCATAGTAGGGTCCAATGGACTAACATATCGGTACCATAGTCAGGTCCAATGGACTAAATCATATCAGTACCATAGTCAGGTCCAATGAACTAACATTTCGGTACCATAGTCAGGACCAATGAATTAACATTTCGGTACCATAATCAGGACCAAAGTAATATGTTTGATTCTCGTGCCATCTTCTAATCTCTTTTGCATCTATTTCAAGATCGTCCGGGGTGCTACGACCGTCTTTCCTTGTTAGAAATGGGATAAACGTCCAGAATCGTGGGGTCGTGTGGTGTAGCGGCAGAGTGCGCGACTCGGAACCTAGAGGTCCCGGGTTCGAGTCCTGACATGCCACCGATCTTGTGACCTTGGGAAAGGCACTTTACACGACTTTCCTCACTTCGCTCAGGTAAAAATGAGTACTGTCCTGTCATGTATTTGTCCCCTGTGTTGGTGGCGGCATTAATATAAGTTGAAAAAACTTGAGTGTGCCGTCACCACGTCTGGTGATTACATGTTGGAATAAAAAAAACGTCCAGATGGATTATTTGCAGTAAAAGTTGTTGGGAAACAAAGGTAAGAAACCACTATAACATGTCAGTTGTAACGAATTTGGAGAAGGTAATATATGTAACGTTATATATATGAGGTCGCGGAACTCTATAGTTTCGCTTGCAACACACGTGGTTTGGTCAAAGGTGAACGCCGACAACAGGAAGTAAACATCACGAACAGGTGTACGTGTGGCCCAGACGTTCGAAGTTCATAAAAAATGGCGTCCTCTTTGCTGAAGGAGATCAGTGACGACTTCCTGACGTGTCAGATCTGTCTGGAGACCTTCAGGAGGCCGAAGATTCTCGACTGTCTCCACTCCTTCTGCGAGGAGTGTCTTAAGGAGTACGTGAAGCCAGGTGAGACGGAAGTGAAGTGCCCCACCTGCCAGCGCGGCACGGCACTGAAACAAGATGGCGGCGTCTCCGCACTCAAGGACAACTTCTTCATTCTCAATCTGGTGGAGACAATCGGGGCGCGGAAGAAGGTTCACCACTCCGTGGATAGGCTACCGTGTGACAGCTGTGGGGGCACGGAAGAAACCGTTGTTGTATCCAGGTGTTTGACGTGCAACGACTTTCTCTGTGAATCGTGCGTGGCTAGTCACAGGACTCTGAGGGCGTTCAAAGGTCACCTCGTCGTG